ATGGGTGAGCACTTTGCGTTTATCCTTATTCTCTGAGAGATAAGGAGTCAAAGCCTCACCAATTAATTTACCCCCCTGGTATGGGGCAGAGGACAGACGCCACTTGGATTTGGCATCAGCATGCCAATGCTTAAGCCAAAGCATGCGTCGACTGATGATCCCGGAAGCTATAGCTCTGGAAGCAAACTTAGTCACCTGGAGCGTAGCATCCGAGGCGTATTCCATTGCTGCAACCATCTTACTGATGTCCTGTTGGGATCGGACATCATCTTTGGGGGTGCGGGCCTGCAGTTGTTTTAGCCAACGGTGGGCGGCTCTAGTGAAGAACGACGCTGAGGTCGCTGCCCTAATGGCCCAAGCAGATGCCTGGTGAATCCTGCGAAAAGATAACTCGCACTTACGGTCCTCCGACTTCAATGCTTCCGAAACATCCCCAGCTATGGCTGTTGGAGAAATCAACGGTCCGAGAGGCTCGTCCACCGCAGGGACCTCCAGTGCTTCCTCCAATTCCTTGGCCATGTTGAACAGCTTTCTGTCCGTGGCGCTCGGAAGGGGAAAGGAGGCTGGTAGCGCCCATTGCTTCTTTACAGCAGTTAGAAACATGGGTGGGCATGGGATCCGGTGCTGAGCTGTCACCGGTTCAGTAAAATTTGGATCCAAATCCGGATCAGGAGTAGCCGTATTCGATGTGGAAGGGGGCTCAGCACCAAGGTGTGCGGTGGAAGAAACCTTGCGGAGCAATGTAACAATGCCGAAGAGTGGAACATTCCAGTGGACGTCGGAGCGTCCACCGACTGTTCCTCCTCCTCAGACATCGGAAACTCCTGGTCAGAGCCCTGATCAGGTAGCGACAGACCCTCAGAATACAAAGATTCAGCCGGTAAGAAGGGGCCGGACTGAGGATCATGTGACCGCTGAAAGGTAGGAGGGGGAACTACGACTGGAGGTTTGGGAACTGCCCTAGCGTTCAGAGCGCGGTCCCACCGCCTGAGCAATCAACAAGGACAATCGCTCCTCTGAAGGGAAAGACGTTGAGGGGCCTGAGTAACTGGATCTGGGGCTCCTGCCCCTGCCCCCCCGTCTGAGAATTGTCCAGTCGGGCTATTTTTTGTGCCCTAGAAAATTCTCTCTCCAGGGCTTGGTGTCTCCTGGTGGCGTGCTTATCTGCCCCCTTTAAAGTTTTCTTTGCAGACTTTGCCTTAGTATTTTGCGCAGCCTTGTCTGATCCCTCCAGATGAAATGGCATAGCGCTCAAGGCAGCCAATGAAGGGGACACGACCTCCTTCTCGAGGGAATCCATACTCTCCATCCTCTGATAGCGCAGGGGCTCAAGGGGGGCCCACCGGTATCTAGAGGGAATTATCACCTTGGGTGCAACCGGACGCAATTCCAAAGGACGCCAGGGACCCAGGTACTGATGCAACCACAGGCCAACGACAGACACGCTATGGGAGTGCCTGGTACCCATGTGCAACGTGTCACAAACCAGGACCGGTGCTCTGAGGGGTCACCGTTAGTCCGCTGAAGGTACTGGAAGTAACTAAAATCGATGCACGCCCAAATACTTCCAGCGAGTATGGAATCAATAATAAACCCACGGGTGGATCCTCCATCTCCGTGCTGAGAAAAGGCGTTCAGGTAAGACAACGCCCCTTCCCTGCAATTTAGACAGCTGCTATTATTCCAATAGACCATGCAAAATTCAAACAGATCCATGAGCTGAATAAATAATCCTTTAGCTCCTTGGCTGACTTCTGTAATGTTTATATATATATAAACATTACAGTTTATATATATATATATATATATATATTTCAATTTTATAATGCAATAGTTGAATAGTTACATTTGAAGTAGATGCACTAAAATTGACTTGGTAATCACTAAAATCTTATTGACTACATTTCCTGTATTTTATTACTGTTATTTAAAGCATTTACATCTCCATATATATTTTAAAACCATTTGTTCCTATAAAGACGGTAACACCTATTTATNTATAGTAACGGAGCGCCCTGCGGACATCTAAACAATGCCATTGCCGTTCCAGGGTACGCGATGGTTTAGGGCAAAAGTCAGGTAGAATAACCTCTTGGCTCCTGTGAAAGAGGGAATTCACCTTTGGGACAAAGGTAGGGTCCAGACGGAGTACCACACGGTCCGGGTGGAAAATGCACAAATCCTTATGGACCGACAGAGCCGCCAGCTCTGATATACGTCGAGCCGACGTGATGGCCACTAAAAAGGCTACCTTATGAGACAGGTGACTCATATCGCTCGTCGCTAATGGTTCGGTGGCCTGATGTTAGCTGCCCCCTTAAGAAAAAAACGTAGCAGTGTGTGGTGAGCTAACGACCCTCCGTGCTCCCAGGCGAGAACAGTAGAGAGCGCAGCTAGTTGCCTACGCAAGGTATTAGGGGCCAAACCTTTGTCCAAGCCGTCCGACAGATATTCCAAAATAATAGGAATATTGAGTTGTGAGAGAGCCAACTTATGTTTGTCGCACCAAGCACAAAAGTTTTTCCACGTTGCCTCATAGATGCGATTCGTGGATGGGCGACGGGATGCCTGTATAACCTCAATGACTCTTAAAAAGCAAGATTGCCTCGACAAATAGTTGCGCTCAAGTGCCAGACGGCTAGCTGCAGCCACTGGGGATCCGGATGAAGGATGGCTCCCTGACTGAGTGATATCCTGTCTGGCGGAATCCTCCACGGATCTGTTGTGGAAAGACCCAGCACGTCGGCAAACCACGGTCTCCGTGGCCAATACGGGGCTACCAGTAGAATCTCCGTGTCTTCCCGGAGCAGTTTGCGTACCACCGCCGGGAGAAGAGGGAGAGGTGGGAAAGCATACAGCAGACCCCGAGGCCATGGAGAGCGCAGCGCATCTACCTGTTCCGCTCCCTAAGCAGGGAAGCGGGAGAAGAAGCGGGGGAGCTGGGTGTTGGCCGGTGAGGCAAATAGGTCCACTAACGGTAGACCAAAGCGATGGCAGATCTCTTTGAAGACCCTCGGGTGAATCCTCCACTCTGAGTGGTCTATTGTCGCTCTGCTCAAGACATCTGCCTGGGTATTGGCCTTCCCCGAGATGTGCTCGGCCTTGATGCATGCTAGGTTGTGCTCTGCCCAGGTCCCCAATAATAATGCCTCATTCAGAAGGATTCGAGAATGAGTGCCCCCCTGCCTGTTTACATGGGCCTTGGCTGTCATGTTGTCCGTGAGGACCAGCATATGACGCCCTCGTACCTGGCTGTGGAAGTGAAGGAGAGCCAGATGTATGGCCCTCAGTTCCAACCAGTTGATATCGTGGCGGAGGTCTGAGTGGGACCAACGGCCCTGGGCCCAATGGGAGCAAAGATGCGCCCCCCAACCAAAGAGGCTGGCATCGGTTGTGATGAGGAGCCGCTCCGGCTCCTTGAACAACGACCCTTTGAGGACGGCTGGGGACAGCCACCACTTGAGGGAAAGCGATGTCTGAGACGGAAGCCTCACCCTCTTCTGAGAGGCACTGATGTTCTGCCTCTGGAAGGGGAGTAGGAACCACTGCAATTCCCTGGAGTGGAGCCTGGCCCACGGCACTATGTCTATGGCTGATATCATCTGTCCTAGCACCCTGGAAAGGCTGAATAGAGAAACTTTCTGCCCCTTGCGTACTTGGCGGATGGATTTTCTCAGGTTTGTCAAACGTTCCTGAGACAGATACACCCTGCATTCCCTGGTGACTATGACGGTCCCTAAATGCAATAGCTGAGTCGTGGGGACCATATGACTCTTGGGGAAGTTTACCGAGAACCCATGATCCTGGAGCAGCCGTACTACCCGGTCGAGATCCAGTCGTGCCAAGTGGGCGCAGGTCGACTGGATCAGGATGTCGTCCAGGTAACCCTGGACCCTGATCGGTATCATCCGTAGGTGAGCTGCCAGGACTGCCAGGATCTTGGTAGACACCCTGGGGGCCGACGAGAGGCCAAAGGGTAGAGCTCTGTATTGATAATGCTCTCCCTTGTAACTGAATCGTAGAAACCGCCGGTGATCGATAGAGATGGGGATATGGAGATACGCTTCCGTGAGATCGATGGATGTCAGGAAGTCTCCATTTCTCACGCTCCCTAAAATGGAGCGAAGCGTCT